TACAGCACTGGGCTAAGACATCTCCTTTTGTCCTTTCAGCCCCAAGGAAGCCTGGCACAAGAACTATTCCTTGGTCTACCTCACTACTCCAGGCCCACATTCCAACACCATCAGTGGGCACTTGCCTCAAGGAGGATCATGCATAACAACAAATGTTATATATTTTGCTTAGAAGAGATTAGCTTCTTTATTTAATTTTGGTAAAGGAAAGTAGAATGACTGCTCTTGCCCTTATTCCTAATATGGTGCACATTCAACACACACATTCCTTCTATGGCTCTATGCCTCAAGGCAGCCACGATCTTTCTGGGCCTCAGTTTCCTCATCTGTAAACTGAGGGGGTTACATGCCATGAGCTCTCAGGTCCCTTTCAGCTCTAAACCTATGTTCCTCTAACAATAACAATGGAAAAAAGATCTTAGTGAAATGAAATTGCTTTCCTGAAATCAAGAGCAAAGGCCAGGCTGTATTTTTAAAGAACTTTTTTTTCTCCTAAGAAAACAAAATTTGTACTCTTATACTTATAAATGCTTTGCTTGAAAAAAATCCATCAGTAAAAATAATCAGCATAAAAATACTCAGGCAACAGCTCCAGGCTTCTCGTTACCATGGCATTCAATCTTAGAAATGAGAGATTTGAAAGTCCAATTACATGGTGCTCACTCCCTCGCATACCCTCTGCCAAGACAGAATCTAGTAGCCAGGTAACAGATGAACCTGACATAGAAGAGAAAATATCAGGGTTGGAAAGGACCTCAGAGGTTATCTCACCTGACTCCTACCTGAAGCATTTGAAAAATAAAAGTAAAAATAGAAAATTCATAAAATATGACCCTTGATATTAGCCCAAAATGGTAGCACTGGTATGGGACCAGATCTGTGGCATACTGTGAGGGCACAGGCCTGGTACACACTAAGCTCATTACTTACTTTGCTCTTTACTGTTCCTAGTTCTTGCAGGAACTTATTCTGGTGTGGGAAATAAGAGAAAGACTCAGAATTTAGAGCTTTTTTGGTTGCTGTTCAGTCACGTCTGACTTTTCATGACTCCATGGACTATAGCATGCCAGGCCCTTCCATTCTCCACTATCTTTCAAAGTCTGTCCGGGTTATGTTCATTGTTTCCATGACACTATCTATAGATCTCATCCCCTGCCATCCCCTTTTCCTTCTACCTTCAACCTTTCCCAACATCAGGGTCTTTTCCAGTGAATCCTGTCTTCTCATTATATGGCCAAAATATTTAAGCTTCAGCTTCAATATCTGACCTTCCAGTGAATAGCCTGAATTAATTTCTTAAAGTATTGACTGATTTGATCTCCTTACTGTCTATGGGATTCTGAAAAATCTTCTCCAGCACCATAATTCAAAAGCACTGATACTGTCTCCCAGCTTTCCTTATAGTTCAACTCTCACAGCCATACATTGCTACTAGAAAAAAAGTAGCTTTGAAGCAATCTTAAAAGAGATTGTATAATCTTATTATTTTATAAAGAAACAGAGGCCCATAACTATGACCAAGGTAACATAGGCGGTAAATGGAGGATCCATTATTCTTTGAATTCCTGGTGCAAGTTGAATTGAAAGACAGGGTCTGCCTTTGAGGGTCATGAAGGGTCCTGCCTAGAAGTAGGGACCATGATGAGTTGATATATAGAGAGAGATGGGACTTCTGTCTCCTAGCTTTATGGTTCTCTGATTCAATGAGATACTAAACAACAGCAGGGGATTCTAGGATGCTGATACTATAGCTCCAGGGATGGTGAGAATCACTCCTATGAAGTCTTTCAGCACTGATGGACTTTCCCTGAAGTTTGGGGCACTTGCTCTGGGGTATCTTAGACACAGCAACACTTCAGTACTGCAAGGTTTTGTGCTTTTATCCCGATGTTGATCAAAAACCCCTTTCTGACCTGATGGCCAGCCTTTCAGAGTCTCTGTGGCCAAAAAACTCATCACCTAGCCACTGATTTGAACCCAGAAGTAAAGCAGTTAAATATGGGTAGGCTGGCCATAGGACCATGAATATGCAGTCTAAAGTGGGACACACTGGGTACCTTAGCAGAGCTTGCAGTAAGATCAGCCGGAGGTCTAGTTCTGAGAAACAATTGGTGGCACTGAGGACAAAGCACTGGGCCTGGAGTCAGGAAGATCTGAGTTCAAATGTGGCCTTGGACACTTGCTAGTTATTTGACCCTGGGCAAGTCACTTAATCTCTATCTGCTTCATTTTTCTCAGCTGTAAAATAAGCATTAGATTACAATAGTGCCTACTTTGCAGGGTTATTGTGAGGAACATATATGTAAGGCACTTAGCACAGTGCCCGTGCATAGTAGGTGCTTAATAAATACTTGTTCCCTTCCTTTCCCCCTGCTGTCATAGTTTTTTCAAGCCAGAAGTTACATCTATACCCCAATGGAAGACTTTTATATCATCCTCAAAATAATAACTCTCATTTCTATGGTACTTGAGCTTTGACCAAACACTGTTATCACAATATCCTTGTGAAATAGAGAGTACAAACAAGGGAAAGAACAAACATCTATTAAGCACCTACTGTGTGCCAGGAGCTGTGATGAGCTTTGTAAATATTATCTTATTTGATCTTCCCAACATCCCTGGAGATAGATACTATTTTATTCCCATTGTACAGTGGAGGAAACTAGAGCAGACAGAAATTAAGTGACTTGTCTAGAGTCATACAGTTAGGTTAAGTGTCTGAGGTCAGATTGAACTCAGGTCTTCCTGACTCCAGGCCCAACAGGACCTTTATCCGCTTTATCCACTGTGATACCACTGAGAGGAGAAAATTGAGAGTTAGAATCACTTACTCAGGGTCACCCAGCTAATAAGTATTAGAACTAGAAGTCAAACCCAGATCTATCCTGTGCCCAAATCCAGTGCTTGCTCAATGCAATCAGCCAACATGCATTTATTAAGTGCTTACTATTTGCTAAGCACTGGAGATACAAAGAAAAGACCTTTCAAGAAGCTTATATTCTTACATCAAATGATAGAATAATTTTTTGTTGTTGTTCAGTCATGTCTTTGTGACCCCATTTGGGGTTTTCTTAGCAAATATCCTGGAGTGATTTGCCATTTTCTTCTCCAGTTTATTTTATAGTTGAGGAAACTGAGGCAAATAGGGCGAAGTGAATTGCCCAGGGTCACACAGCTAGTGTCTGAGACCAGGTTCAAACTTCTTCCTGACTCCATGCCCAGTACTCTATCCATTGTGCCACCTAGCTGCCATGCAAGGAATGGCCTTCTAGTCTAAATCTTCTCAATTTACCAATGAGGTAATTCAGTCTTCCAGGAAGGTGACTCACTTCAAATCACAGATTGGCGGAAGCAGGATGATGTGTATTGATAAAACCTCACACATTTAAGCTTAGAAGAGAATGTCCATATCAATTAATCCATAAGCCATCATTAAGCACTATCACTGTGCTAAGTACTGTGGATGTGATAAAAAATGAGAGACAGGCCTTGCTCTCAAGGACCTTATATTCACACTAATTTTTTCCTTCTATCCTCAGATGGGATCCTTCAGTGAGGAGGCTACCTCAGATGAGGCAATGAAAGCAATTAATTATAACCATAATCTCTTCCACTTCTGTAGTTCATTATGACTTACAAAGTTCCTCACAAATCTGAGTTCAAGTATTAATAAGTAGTAACATCATTCTTTGCACAGTAAAGAGATGTAAGCTCAGAGCCATTAAGTGACTTCCCTAAGGTCTCACAGAATCCCACAATTTTAGAGTTGAAAGTAATCTCAATAGTTTAAAAATAATCTCCACTATAAACGTCTGGAGAAATGATCATTCAATCTAAGAAGATTGAATTGATCCTGTATCATTTCAGCATTGATCTTATTTCCAACTAGTTGATTTTGCTCCTTAACTGCTTAAATCATTGTTCTTTGTCTCTGAATTTAGATCAGAGATTCAGCTGGTCTGTAAGGGGTTAAGTTTAAAAATCCAGCTCTCCTGCTAATCACTGTTCTATTTTTGCCTTAAGAAATTCAGCTTAAACCTTGGGGGAATGTGTCTGAACACAAGAGACTTGGGTCTTGAATCTCTCCACCACCAACCTATCCTCCAAGGATATCTGGTTTGCTGTCCAAAAAGTCTGGTCCATCATCTCTAAACCTTGCAGCTTCGCTCAAATGAGGTTATCAGTCATAAGGTGGGAGGAAGGGTCAGTGCCAGACCCTCACTGGCAAACTTCCAAACAATCGCGCTCCTTTAGCCTCAGCTACGTGATCAATCACGCTGCCTCCAATCCCGCGGTGTCATCTACTCGTTTCTGTCCTTTGTTCTGTACTCCCCAAAACCTATGAAAGGGGACTGCACTTTTGTTCCGGGTCATTGACGTGAACAGGGGCAAGCTGTTGACCCTTTATCATCAGATAGCATATCCCTGTTAATAAATGATATCTCGCTCAGAGAAACTTGCCGCAGTTTACTTTTTGATTAAATTTCAATCACGACAAACCTTTTCCCTGGAATGTGAGCTTTGGAGGGATGACCATACCTAAGGCATAGAATCCTTGGTCAAGAGCTGAAAGGGACCTTAAAGGCCACTGAGTCCAACTTTACTGAGAAGGAAACTGAAGTTTAGGAATGTTAAGTGACTTGCCTAAGGTCACACAGCTAGTAAGTCTTCAAAATAGGATTTGAACTCAGGTCTTCCTGACTCCAAGTCAAGAGCTTTAACCACTGGACCACCTAGCTCAAGGTCAGGGACCATGTGTATCACATCACTTTGCATCTATTCCCTGTTGCCCATATGCGGTGGGCCTTTGGTAAATATTTCTTTATGACATGGGAGATCCACCTCTTTCCTGCATCTTTCTGACTTTTTACATAAAACCACTCTGCAGAAATACAGACTAACTGAATTCATCCCCAATTAATAGAGTCCCTCTAAGGATATCCCAGTGCTGGGAAGGTGAATCACCTTCTGAGGCACTAAGGCATCCCCTGAAACCATACCTTTTTTCAGATATACAGTCACAGATGCTTTATCATCATTCTTCACTTTAAGAAGACAGTTCAGTTGTCCAAAGCTGGTGGCAGCAGTGTTTCCCAGGGCATCTTGTTCCTGGAGAAAGAAAGAGTCTCAGTGATTGGTCTTCTGGCCCTTGGACAATGTTTGGCCCACTGGCCCATTCCTTTTCTCCATGGAATGAGGAGGCTAGATTAGATAACCTCTAAAGTGAAGAAAAAAATGCGATCTTGTGAGATAGTGAGCTCCCATCACAGGAAATGTTGAAGGTGAAATAGCCTAGTAGGTGTCATTTAATCATTTCATAGGTGTAAGCTCTCATAGGATGATTGGGTTAAGGGCATTTAACAAATAAAACAGAAAACTTGGGAAGACATAACAATTCTCCAAGTATTTGAGAGACTACATATTACATAGTAGTGCATACCCAGTTACTATAGGAGTTCAGCAAAGGCTGAACAACCACTTGTTTGGGAGGTTGTAGGATAAGAATGCCTTTTCAGGTACTGGTTGGACCAGATGACTTGGGAGGTTCTTTACAACACTAAGAAGGTGGCATCTACTCAAACTACCATTACTCCTTCAAAAGCAAGGACACTGCTCTCTAGCTCCTCTGTACCTTTCCAGGGTTAGCTTATAGGACAAATTGTAAGGTCCATCAAACTTCTCTGGTTCTTCCTACTTCCCATTTTCCTAGATTTCCTTTCCTTTCCCCAAGTACCCAGTTTCCTTATTGGGCACCAACTATGGGCCAGGTGCTAGGAATACAAAGACTAAAATGAAAGTCTCCTACCCTCAAAGAGCTTATCTTCTATTGGGGAAAAGAGTTAGCTAGCTAGCTGCCTGTGGGGCAAGATTTTCAGTTATTTTCAGTCCTGTCCAATTCTATGGGACCCAATTCGGGGTTTTTTGGAGGCAATTGGGTTATTTGGAGTTTTCTTGGCAAAGATGCTGAAGTGGTTCGCCATTTCCTTCTCAGCTCATTTTACATATAAGGAAACTGAGGCAAACACAGTTAAGTGACTTGCCCAGGGTTACAAAGCTAGTAAGTGTCTGAAGCCAGATTTGAATTCAGAAAGACACCAAGCCCAGCACTCTAACTACTGCACCACCTAGCTACCCCATCTAACTAGATGGCATATCTACACACAGAAAGATATATAGACCTAGTTATAGCTATAAAAAGTACACATGCTAATGTATATACATATATACATATATACAAGTATATATGTATATACATATATACAAGTATATATGTATATACATATATATGTATATATATGTGTGTGTGTGTGTGTGGTGTGTGAATACTCTGAAATCGTGATATAGATAGATATAAATATAAGTATATAGATATGCTATAGATATGGATATAACTGCAGGTACAGATTAGCTATAAATATAGATATAAATAAGGGTATGCTGGTAAATATTTAACAATCAGGTCTCTGAAAAAAATGTACACGTAATACACTTTAAGTTTAATCTTCTACATTGTTAACATTTTCCCATCACTTCCTTAAGTCTAGAAATCAACAAAACAATAGATCAAGCCCTGATTTGTAGCATTTGACAATTTCTGATGTTCAAATGCTCACAATGAAAATTTAATAATTGGCTCTCCTGAGCCAGGACAATTTATATAGCCAATACAATATCCCTGATTATATAGATACGGTTTCCCCAGTAGTATGTAAGATCCTTGAAGGTAGGTATCCTAAGAGGAAGCTAGGTGCGACACTGGATAGAAAGCTAGACTTGAAATCAAGAAGACTTAAGTTCGAATTCTGCCTCAGATATTTACCAACTGAGTGACCCTGGGCAAGTTACATAGTCTCTCTAAGCCTCAGTTTTCTTCATCTGAAAAAGGGACATAATAGTAGCACTTACCACTCAGTATCGTTGTGAGGATAAAATGAGGTAATATGTGTAAAGTGCTTTGTACACCTTAAAGCCTTATATAAATGCTAGCTCTTGTTTTTGTATCTCCAGTGCCTATCACATGGCAGGTGCTTAATATCACAGAACTTCAGAGTTTAAAGGGACCCGAGTGGTTAATAATATTTCAGGTTTTGTAGAATACTTTACCTTTATAATCTCTCTTCACAACAACCCAGTCTGGTAGGTGGAATTTAAAGTAGAGAAATTGAGACTGAGAAATTAAGCGACTTGCCACATAGCAAATAAGTGCTTGAAGGTAGGATTTGAACTCCAGTCTTCTTGACTACAAGTTCAACCCTCTACTCATCTGCATATTTGTGTGTGTGTGTACACATACATATGTATGTATGTAAATATGTATGTGTGTATGTATATATACAAACACATATACACACATACGTATATAAGTATAGACAAAATGTATACAAGGAAATTTTGGTGAGGAGGGGAAATCAGGGAAGGCTTCCTGTAGGAGGTAAGAATTTGAGCTGAGCCTTGAAAGAAACTAAGGATTTCAAGAGGCAAAGGTGAAGAGGGAGTACATTCAAGGCATGGGTCAAAGGGAGTGCAAATATTATTTTTAAATATTTTGGCCTTTTAAATAGCGTTCATTGTTTTTGTTGATGAATACTAAATTCAGAACTTTAAACATTAGTGCTGTTTCAAAAGAGGCCTCTTAGAAGCATTTATCTAAATGCAAAGGAGTGACTGTCTATTAAAGAGAATTTCTGACATTATACATACTGGTTGGGGAGCTATTTGGAAGCTTTTCTGCATCCTTGAAGTCACACATGGCCCCAAATCTATGATCTTTTGCCACAACATATAATCGATCCCCTCCCCCCAAAAAAACCTCAGTGGAGCCTATGAGTTTAATTATTATAGTTGGTTTTCTAGTTGGTTTTATATATGTGTGTGTAATATACACATAAGTATATATATTTACATGCATATACATATGTGTATATCTAGTAATATATGGGAATATATTATTATGTGGCATATCTTCTATGGTAATATACAATCATATATATGATTATATAACTGTATGCTATATTAATAATTGCATATATTGTTCTTGTTGGTAATATATTATATAATAACTGTATGTTATATTAATATACAAGATTAATACAACATAGTTATATAATCATTCATAAAAACATTTTATATTAGTTAATTATGTAATAATTATACAATTATATTCATATAATTTTTTTATTTCTCTCTATATATGGATAGACCTCTCTCTCTCTCTCTCTCTCTCTCTCTCTCTCTCTCTGTCTCTAAGCTACCTCCTTTGCCTATGTTAAGAGCTAATCCTGGTCTCTACCATCTATAGGAGAAGACAAGAACACAGCGCACAGTAGGTGCTGGACATATGTTGTGAACTAACTTGCTGTTTGTGGTGCTGATTCAGTCAGTGGTTGGGTTCATATGAGCAGGCTTAGTTGGCATAGTAATTTCTGCTTAAGGGTTAGGTCTGACTGTCTGATTTTCTTACCAGGTCAAACCAACATCTCTAAATTCATAAAGTGCCATGAATTATACACAAAGAGATCAGCAAGAATCAGTGTGGGATGGCAAAGTAACTGGTTCCACTGACCTGACTGGAAGCTACACAATCGATGTTGATATACATGCTGGCATAGAAATCACATACAGCATCAGATCCAGCTCCAATTACCGTGAAGAAGGTGCAAGCTTCATCGATAGAACAGTCTGGAAACACCAGGGGAAAAAAGAAGAGGCTCACACCCATAATACTAATTTATGGTCACAAAACACATTGATTGGGGCAGCTAGGTGGTGCAGTAGATAAAGCACCAACCCTGGACTCAAGAGGACCTAAGTTCAAATCTGGCCTCAGACACATAACACTTGCTAGTTGTTTGACCCTGGGCAAGTCATTTAACCCCATTGCCTAACCAAAAAAAAAAAAAGAAAGAAAAAAAAAGAAAGAAAGAAAAAGGAAAAAAAGAAAGTACATTGATCTTATTTGATTTTCACTACCACCCTATGAGGCAGGTGGGGCAAGTATTATTTCTCCATTTTACAGATAAGGAAATGGAAACCAAATGACTGATTTGCCCACAACCTCACAAAGATGAACCTCTGCTGGCCAAGAGGGATGCCTTCTTTGTCTTGGATTTTGGCCTTTATATTCTCAATAGTGTCACTAGGCTCTACCTCCATGGTGATGGTCTTGCCTGTCAGGGTCTTCACAAAGATCTTTATACAACCCCTAAAATGCAGGACCATAGGGGGAGTGAATTCTTTCTGGATATTGCAGTCAGAAAGATAGTAATAGTAGTAGCAGTAGGAGGAGCAGTAGTAATAGTAGCAATAGTTGTAGTAGTAATAGTAACAGTAGCAGTATTAGTAGTAAACTACTAGTAGTAATAGTAGTGGTGGTAATACTACTAGTAGTGGTAGCAGTAGTGGTATTAATAGCAATAGTATAAGTTACATTAGTGGTGATATTACTATTAGTACTAACAGTAGTAGTAGTAGTAATATTAATAGTAATGGTAGCAATACTACTACTAGTAGCAATACTAGCAGCAGCAGTAGTAGTAGTAGTATTAATAGTGATAGTAGTAATAGTAATAGTATAAATAATGGTAGTAGTAATAGTACTAGCAGCAATGGGAGTAATAGTAGTAGTACTAGCAGTAGCAGCAGCAGCAGTAGTAGTAGCAGTAGTAGCAATAATAGCCCTCCAAATACTTAAAGGCAGCAATTACATCTTGCTTTGTCTTCTCTTTTCTGAGCTAAAGATTCCAAGTTTCTTCAAACGATCTTCATATGGCATGACCATAGGATCACAGGACTAACGATTGAGAGCTAGAAGGCACCTTAGAAGCCATGAAACCCAATCCCTTCAATTTATAGATAAGAAAACTGAGGTCCAGAGAGGTTATGGGATTTGCCCAGAGTTACACAACATCCTGTTTACCCTTTTATTTTGGCGACTCAGCTAATTTCTTGCTCCTTAAGTTGAATTATTAGCGTACTTCAACTGCCTTGTCATCATTTGGGAAGCATCAATATGAGATAATGGAAAGAACAGTGAACTGGTCATTAGGAAGTCTGGGTTGTAGCCTTCTATCTGCTACTAAAATACTTGTGACCATGAGTAAGTTATTCATTATTTATAAAATGACAGTTGTACCACATGATCTTTAAAGGCTCCCACAACTAAACAAACTTTGTCCTATAATCTATACTTTTCATCCTTTCCAACTCTGACATTCTATGTTCTATGAGGAGTCTATGCAATTCTGATTTCAACAAAAGACAGTGGTAGTATATCTGGTATTTTATTGCTATCAGCTTGTAGGTTTGTTCTACTTTAATTTTTGAAGACCATAGATTGTAATCAGAGATGAAATGTCTATAAATTCAATCAAGGAATACATTAATTTATAGTTGTCTGCTAGCTCAAAACAAAATGATAGCCAATTTCATCTTACAAATGGCCAACTTTTTATAGTTTTTAGGTGATTTTAATGAAATTTGGCATGTATATGTAGATGTTTGATCCCACATATTGGGAACTCCAGGAGTTCAAGTGGACTTCCTGAATCTAGAAGGGATAGCAAACACAGTAAAGGCAAGATCCAACAAAATTTTGGACTGGAATACACTAGGCTAGACTAGGATGTTGGGCTGGATCTCGTAAGCTCCATGTCAACTACAGAATGGATAAAGATTCCACCTTTACCTGGATCTAAGTAACTTATAACAATGTTGAACAACATAGGGCAAAGTACAAATTTTCTAGGAAAGTCAACTAGGGACTTTCTTCCAGGTGGAACTCAAAGCATTAATGGCCCCTCTCTGAGTCCAGCCATTCAACCAGTTCTGAATCAGCCTCATTGTATACTATGTCAGGTTCACCTCTCTCTTCCTTGTCCCCATGTGTGGCCTGAGAGACTTTGTCAAATTACTTTCTAAATTCTAGATAAATTATGTCTACAGCATTCTGCTGATCTATCCATCTAGTAATCTTATCAAAAAGGAAATTAGGTTAGTTTAGCATTGATGTATTCTTAATGAAGTCATGTTGGCTCTTTGTGATCATCATTTTATTTTGTATATATTCAATAACTATCCCTTTTATAATGCAATCAAGAAATTTTTCTAAGAATCCAAATAGACCTCATGAGCCTACTATTTGCAGATTCCATTCTCTTTCCTTTTTTTAAGTGGTGACAACATTCACCCTTCTCTAAGCCTGAAGTGTCTCTCCCTTTCTCCAGTCTTTCAAAGATCACCAGAAGTGGTTTAAAAATCATATCTGCCAATTCTCTCAGTACACTGGGATATAGTTCATCTGCATGATGCTATGTATTCATCTATTATTTCCATGTTTATCCTGAGTAACACATCCCAATTAGCCATTTTTGTGCCATCATTTCCAATCCAAAGATCTTTTCTCCTTGGGCAGAGGTAGTGAGTAGCAAAACCACATTTCAAACCTGTGTCCTCTGAGCTCACATCTAGGTCTATTTCCAATATATCACAGCTTTCTGATAAATTCTGTTGAGCAGGAGTTCTTATTCTTTAATTTTTTTGCCATGGACTCTTTTTTAGGCAATTGGGATTAAATGACTTGCCCAGGGTCACACAGCTAGTAAGTGTCAAGTGTTTGGTCTGAGGCCAGATTTGAATTCAGTTCCTCCTAACTTCAGGTCTGGTGCTCTATCCACTGTGCCACCTAGCCGCCCCATGCCATGGACTCTTTTGGCAATATGGTAAAGCCTATGGACCTCTTCACCCCTCCAAAAATGTTTTTAAATTATTGAAGGAAGAGCTAAACTTCAGTTAGAGGTTAGTGAAAATAAAGATGTATTTTTTCTCATTTAATTTCATGGCACTCCTCAAATTATCAGTGGACTCTGGGAGTCTGTGAGCCCCAGGTTAAAAATCCCTGCTTTAAAGTTATATTTCTTATCTCTCTAACCACACTTTGGAATGAGCATCAGGAGAACCATAGGCTTCTATGGTAGCAGGGGCTGAGGCCAGATGACGTATACATTCTTCAAAGTACAAAAACAGTAACTGGGTCTTTGATTTTTTTTTTTTAGTGTGGAAAGTACAAGATAATCCCCATGCTCTGCCCCGCCCCCAACTCCTTTCGAGGACAACATTTTTTTTACCTGAGAGGCACTGCATCAGTGGAAATTCTCCTTTCACGGTTTTAGATTGAACCACCATAGTATCATTGGCATTGAAGATAACTTTATATTCTGGGACTCGCTCAAATTTCCGGAGCACTAAAAGTAAAATAGACTATTGAAATTTTCATGTGAAGGGGGTAAATGTTCTATAAAGGGGTTAATTTGGGCATTAGGTCAGGAAGGAGTTAATTACATCAATCATCCTTCCACCTCAGACCCCTGTATCAGGGGTGTGGATACTTTTATGCAAGTACATCCAATTTTGTGTGTTTCTAGGCATCTAGGACACCAGTGCCACTAGCCACACATGAATAAAAGAGGCAAGAAGGTGATATTGAAAGAACCCTGCACTTAGAGTCAAAAGACCTGGGTTGATATCCAGGCTCTGTCACTTATCAGAGTCAAGTCCTTAAAGAAACCACTTTACTAGTCAGAGTTGTCCAAAGGAATGGGTTGCCTCCAAGAGTTATAAGTTCATCACTGGAGCTTTTCTTTTCAGAAAAGATTGGAAGATTTCTTGCTGCAAAAGTTGCGGATGGAATTAGTGCTCAGGTGGACCCAAATCCATCTAAGATTCTTTGTTCCCAGAATTTCCTGGGGCACAATTTCCTTAATTACAAAATAGGAATAATAATCCTGGCCCTGGGTGCTTTACAGGGTTGTTATTATGACCAAAAAGAATATGAATGATAACTGCCATTTATGGAGTTGTCTTAAGTTTACTAAGCATTTCCCTCACAACAATCCTGGGAGCCTATGCACGCAAACTCTCTCTTTCTCACTCTCTCTCTGTCTCTCATTCCCTTCATACTATTTATTTTTTTTTTTTTTTTAGGCAACTGAGTTTAAGTGACTTGCCCAGGGTCACACAGCTAGTAAGTATCAAGTGTTAGGTCTAAGGTCACATTTGAACTCAGGTCCTCCTGACTTCAAGGCCAGTGCTGTATCTACTGAGCCACCTAGCTGCCCCATACTATTTCATATTTCAAGGATCTGTGATTGCATCATTGTGAGATCAGTGTGATTATTTCCTCCATTGATGTTGCTTATCTTAGTAGATAGTCTTTGGAGAGCTGCCTTTACCAAAAAATTCATCAACTTATACCCAACCTGATTATGAGACTCACAGAATTTGGGAAGGCTAATACTTAGACAATGGACATACAGCCTTTATCAGCCTTTGATATCAACCATTGAAGCCTTTATCAGCTTGGTTGGAACTGCCTTGTGGTCCATACCTTAGCTTTTGAGAACCTAGGGTCATCTCCACACCACAACGATGCATTGGAAGAGGATCTTTAGCTCTAAATGAGCATGAGCTAATATTCCTATAGATAAGAGGTCCTGAAAAAAAACTCTATAAAGAAAATCATCAGATACTGTACAGTCTGCTGAATTAGTCTCCTGGCATGCAAATTCTGTCAGTTTAATCTTCCATCTGTTGAATTTCTGTAGCTTTAATTGTATTATGTGAATTTTGGGACAGAACCAGAAGGTTCTTCAGTGTCGACTCTCATTATGTTAGCACTAGAGAGCATCCTGAGGCACATGTGTCTATGTGTCTGGGAGTTCTTTGATTTAAGGGGACAAAGAGATTTTAGAATGGGTTAGAGGAAACCATGAGTCCAACTGAAGGAATACAAAACAGGATCTTCAAGGAGAAGGAGAATGAAATGGGACTCCCTGACTGCAGCAAAATGTCACCTCCTACATGAGGCTTATCTTAAGGTCCATCAACTGCTAGTGCCCTTCCCCACCCCACCTCAGAAATCACCTTATATTACTTAGTCTGTATTTTATATTTATTTTTTATGGCACCCCCTACTCCAACAAAGGAATGTAAGTGGCTTGAGGACAAGGACTATTTCATTTTTGTCTTTGTATTTCTGGCACCTGGTATAGTGCCTTAAAATGCTTTTGAATGAATGAATGAATAGGAAAGCTAATGATAAGAAATATAGGACCAGTATTTAAGTGCTTTGGGAGAGATTTAAATAAACAACAGCAGAAATTTTCCCATAAGGAAAGGTTCTTAAATACTAGACTAGGCTAAGGTGCAGTGAAATCTCATTCCTTGGAAAGTATGAGAAACAGAATGATAAACTACCCTCTCTCCGGAGGTAGATGACTCAGTGTTCAACACAGTACCTGGCAAATAGTAGGCACTTAATAACAACTGATTGATTGAGCAAGTCACTTTAACTCTCTTAATCTCAATTCCTTGATCTATGGAATGCAAAAATAAGATGTGCCCTGCATGCTTCAAAGGTTGTTGGGAGGGCAACATTCTATATATCTTAAAAGGTATAGAAATGGAGAGGTATAAGTAGTAGTTGCAATGGTGGCAAACAGCTCACATTTGTATATCACTTTATAGTTTATAAAAGGCAGCTAGGTGATATAATGGCTAGAGTGCCAGGCCTGGAGCCAGGAAGATTCATCTTCCTGAGTTCAAATCTGGTCTCGGACACCTATTAGCTGTGTGACCCTGGGCAAGTCATTTAACTTTGCCTCAGTTTCCTCATCTGTAAAATGAGCAGGAAAAGGAAATAGCAAATCACTCCAGTATCTTTGCCAAGAAAATCCCAGATGGGGTCACAAAAAGTCAGATATGACTGAAAAATGACTCCACAACAACAAAGCACGTTCAACATACACTGTCTTTTTTGACCCTTACAACTGGGTGAGCTAGACAAGTATTATCCTCCATTACATAGATGGGGAAATGGAGGTTCAAAGAAGTAGATGATTTGCCAAGGCCACATAATTAGTAAATGGGGGAGACAGGTCTTCTCATTCCCAGTCTAGTTTTCCTGCTACATATGCTGCCTCAAAAAATGAATCAGATAGTGATCACTTTTTAAAATTTGTTTATTTTACTAAAGATGATACATTTATGACTGTAACTCCACGCACATTGGGAAAGATACTCTAAACGGCAACATGAGAATGGGGGGGGGTTGCAAAAGTCCCTATCTGTCCCTAAGTGTACATGTTTCAGCATTCTATATTTTATGTTCTGATATTCAAAGATTTAGAGTCCTTTTCCAGTCCTTTCTAGTCTTCTAAATTTTATGTTGTAACATTCTACGCTCCTGTGTCCATTTTAGCTCAAAAATTCCATGTTCTAAGGCCCATTTTAGTTCTAAAAGCCTATGGTCTACTTTTAGAAATCTCTACCATCTCTGAGATACAGTACGGTGCAGTCCACCAGGGGCTGAATTGGAGTCAGAGGATCTGTGTTGAAATGTTATCTTTGCCACTTACTTGTATGACCTTGGGGAAGTCACTTACCAGTATGGGTGGGCCTCAGGAGTTAGACTAGAATTCAAGGATCATCAAACTACAACTCAAGAGCCAAATCCTGCCCAGCACCTGTTTTTGTACAGTCCATAAGATAAGATTTTTAAAAACTATTTTAAAACATAGCAAAACTTCATTTTAAAATGTAAAAACCATTCTTAGCTCACTAGGCTGTCCAAAAACAGACAATGGCTAGATTCAGCCCCTAGAAAGTAATTCGCTGATTCCGGGACCACAGACTACCTGATCTCAAAGGTCTCTTTCTGTTCTCAATCTATTATTCTGTAACATTTTTTATTCTATGAATTATGTGTTCAACAGAAACCAGAAAAGAGACAGATTTCTGAACAGAGGACCTAGGCTATGAAAGTGAAAATCCTCTGTACAGAGCTGAGAACAGAGTTTAGCCCAGGAGATTTGCATAAGAAGCCACAGGATAGAAGTTACGCATCAATCTTTAAAATGCTCATTTGCCTTCTCAAAACAAAACAAGTAATGGGAAATGTGTTTCTGGTTGTCAAAGCCTAGAGGCAGCAGGTGTTTTGGATAAAACTGTCATTTATGCTTGGAAAGAACATTGAGGCAAGCCAAGCAGCCTCCTTACAGAAATAGATGAAATGCAGAGCTTTATCCTTTAGGCTGTGGTATAGTAGAGAAAACACAGATCCAACAGTCAAGAGACATAGAAAGGGCACACTGGCCCTGGAGGCAGAGAACCTGGATTCACGTTTCACCTCTGATAATTACAACCTATGTGACCTTAGGTGAGCCTTTAGCCTATGGTTATCGCCCTACATCCTGGGGTTTAGCGGTACATGCCTCCACGACCTGGAAAATCCACATCAAATTGTTCAGCCCTGCCATCGTACTAGAGACGTCTGAATTTTTTTCTTTTTCTTTTATGGGTTGTTTGCAGTACCTTATTGTAAAATTTGGGTTAAATATTTGGTCATAGACTCTGTGTCATCTTTGGCTTCTGCAAAACTCCCCCCAGATTCCCATTTAATTTCTTATGCCAAGCTGCGATACATTGAAATTGCAATGGGGAAAGTCGTGATTTGGAAGAGATAACTGTGCTTGGATATCAGATCCCCACTTGTAAAATGAGGGCGTCTGAGCTTCTAGCTCTATCTAGCTCTATCTCTTGCCTTCTGACCTGTTTTAGTCCCATCTCCATCTACCACTCACTTGCTGTATGTACCCTAGATAAATTATCCATCTTCTCTAGGTCACAGTCTCCTCATTCATTAAATGAGGAAGTTGGACCAAAAGGTTTTTGATGTTCATTCCATCTCTAACATTTGATGATTTCCACCCCCTAGGACTGAAAGGAGGGGGCTAAGACTTCCTTTTAACCTATATTCGTTCTTCTTTCACATACACACAGTATAACTCTGCCTCAATATGCACCAGAGAGGTTGCTCTAAGAAGCCACGTGAGACTAGCTCATTTGGATTGTCTCCACTTCATGCTCTGGGTTTTAGTTACTATACTGTTCCAAGAAAGGAAATAGGTATTTTGTAATCAAGGACACACAGGTACACAGAGGATAATAATAATAGTAATAATGACCTAGAAACTATATGGTATTTTAAGGTTTGCAAAGAACTTTACATATAATAATAACTAGCATTTACACAGATTTTTAAGGATTGCAAAGCAATTATATTATCTCATTTAGTCCTCACAACAACCCAATGAGGGAGATGTTATTATTATTCTTATTTTACAAATGAGGAAATTGAGGCAGGCAGAGGGCAAGTGACTTGTTCAGGGTCACACAGCTAGTAAGTATAAGGCAAAATTTGAACTCAGGTCTTTCTGACTCCAAAGCTAGCATTCCACCTGCTGCACCACCTAGCTGCCTGTTAGCATGGCACCTAGTCAACAAATCAAGAAGAATTTAAGAGCTTGCTGTGTGTCAGGCACTATGTTAAGTGCTGAAAATATAAATACAAGCAAAAAGATTGTTCCTGCCCACAAGGAGCTTATATCCTAATGGGGGAAGGCAACCCACAAAAGGGAGATTAAAAGGGGGGAGGATACTTATTTTGTCTGAGAAAAGGTTAAGAGTGGCTTACTCAGAAGTAGCACACTGCGATACTTGTAGCACAATGGCACACCTTGGCTAATTTGTGAACTGAAGCTGCTTTTTCTCCCATGGCTCAGATGCTGCTGGAATGTCTGAGCCCAAGCAAGGTCTAAGCCATAGGATTACATGATTCTTCATCGTACATAACCATATGTCACCACTGATTAGTCAGACCATACTCTTGATGATAATAAGCTAGACCAAGAGTTAGTTAAACCATTGACACTGAATGAGAGGAAAGTTCACTCTGCTAGGGCCACCCATACACATTTCCTACCATCTATTTGGAATTTAGTAGGGCACTGTCCAAAAGCATTGGGTGGAGTGGCAGTCCTGTGACCAGAGATGACAAGTGGTTTCTTTTCACTGACTGCCAGTGAAGATACCTTTCCCTGGAGCTCCTTCTTCCATTCTTTCCTGAGAGCATGTGTGTAGGGGTTGGAAGGAGATGGTATAGCAAAAGATGAGTAGAATTATAAAGAAATGCTGCAGGTAAGAAAGGGACAACATTTTCATCTATATCCCAGACTGCCCAATCTGAGGTTTACCCTGCTTCTTTAATAGGTTTCACACCCAATAATTAAAATAATTTAATTTAATTATTGGGGTCCCTTTCTTCCCTACCTTTGCAACTAATTTAAGCTGGCCTCTGGGTATTCCAATATCCCCTCATCTAGGTTGAGATATAGGTCTAGGCATAGACCAAAGTATGTTAAATTCTTTCAAAGAGATAAAAGCTGGGTTTTTTTCCCCAGAATATTTTGCTACCAACTAAAGAGAAAAAAGTAGACAAGAGGCAGTGTGGTACAGTGGACAGAGCATTGGACTAGAAGTGAAGAGACAGGTTCTAATCCTAGTTATTCCACTAACAGTCATATGACCTTGAGTACTTCTCTCTGGGACTCAGTTTCCTCAGTTGTAAACTAAAGGGGTTGTCTGAGATCAGAACTTCTTAAACTTTTTTTGTATTATGGACTCTCCTTTGGCAGTCTGGTAAAGCCTATTGACTCCTTCCCAGAAACAGATTTTAAGTAATTTGGAATCAAAGCTCAATTTTAATTAAAGAGTAATGTAATTTTCCCCCAGCCAAGTTCACGGACTCCTTGAAATCCATCTATGGATCCTTTGGACCGTAGCTAAGAACACTTGGTCTAGATGATCTCTAAGGTCCTCTGAAGCTCTAAAATTTTGTGAATCCTAGGATCATAGATTTAGAGTTGGGAGGGACATTAGACACCATCCGCCTTATTTCACAGATGAGGAAAATGATGACCAGAAAGGTGAAGTGATTTGCCCAAAGTCATACATCTAGTTAGTTCCTCTGGCTCTCTGAGTTTCCCTAGCAATAAGGAAATACTAATGGCATATGCTGAGGGATCTTAAGGGAATCTTCCAGAGTTACCGAGGTTATCAATGTCACTAGGCAAGGAAACAATTCAGACAGGAAGAATGTCAACAGTGGCAGCCCAACCCCATACCACACTCTCTGAGGGTTGCCTTAGTCTCTAATGGGCTCCCTTTCCAAGCCTGCCACCACAGGTGAAGCAACCTTTTGGGGACAGCAGGACTTCCTGGGGTTCAGTGATGGAAGCATAGCGCCAGGCTCCCCATACTCCCAGGTATTTCCTCACAGAAACTACCACATAAGAGAACTGGATCTGGGGCCAGAGGATCAAATCAGAATGATCCAATTAATGGTGAAGCAGGAAGTGAGGACTAAGGGGTAATAGTAAGTAGGAAGTAAGTTGGTTGCTGGGTGATCAAAAGATTTAGATATCCCCAAATATAAGATAATATAAGACAAAGTAAGAGGCACTCTCCCTAATAATAATAACTCATATTTCTCAACTTAAATTTTGCAAAGATACTTTCCTTATAACAAATACCCTTATGAGGTAGATAATGCCAAACAAAATTGTCCTCATTTTTTGGGTGGGGAAGCTCAACTTCCCAGAGTCCCAAAGCTAATAAGTATAGGAGGCAGGTATTTGAAACCATGTCACTCCTGATTACAAGTGCAGACCTCTTTTCCAGCTGGTAAAGTAATAGCTTACATTTATAAAACACTTGACAGTTTACAAAGTGCTTTTTTTTATAACCATGAGTTTGAGGTAGGCAGTATAATCATCATTAGGCCCATTTTATAGATGAGGTAGCCAAGACTTAGCCAAAGGAAATGACTTGCCCATAACCATCGAGCTGTAAGTTTCAGAGCCAGGACAGGAATAGGTGTCTTATGACCCTAAGCCCATTAGTCTTTCTCCTAAACTTTGAAATATTGGAAAATAGTAGCCAGGATGACCCAAGGTAGGATTTGAATAGGATTTATGTTTTTTGAAAACTCAGAGTAAGACTGTAAGAGAGGAAGGGCATGACTTATGAGGCAGCAGTGTGTATTGATAGATAGTTAGCAGATGTAATATGTCATACACATAGACACATCTCATTGCAAACAGTTCTGTTAAGTAAGAGGCAGTTTATCCATCTGTCCTTCCATCCATTCAGCATTCAGTGCTGTGTCTGGCACATAGCTGGCAATTAATAAATGCTTGTTTCCTTCCTTCAACAACCATAGATTAAGCAACTATGAATATCTAGTGGAATCACTGAGTTATGTGACTGTTGGGCAAGTATCTTAACCTCTATGTTTTAGTGTCTTCATCTGTAAAATGGGGACATCTATCTCCCAGGGTAAAGCTCAAATGAGATATTCTACTGGGCTCCAATGCCCCATCATAATCTCATCAATGTGGCTATCACCTACAGTGGTGAAAATCACAACAAAACTATGTCTGCCCACCTTGTGTGACTCATTTATCGCCTCTCATAAATTTACTACCAGGTAGGTAGGGGCCTCCCTTGCATTCTCTTGACGTTGAATCATTGGAGCACAGGGGATGTCCATTGGCTGCCTCTCATTTTAGCTATATATGACTGGCCTCTAATTTCTCTTTGGTGACCTATAAACAAAGGAAAAGTACTATACTGCAAGGGTTCTATAGGATGTGAAGTTACTTTGAAAAATAATAATAATAGTTTACATTTGTATAGCACTTGCTAGTTAAAAACTACTCATGTGGAAATGTTTTAATCCATATTCAATTGCTTGCTATCTTGGGGGAGGGGAGGGAAGTGAGAGAGGGAGAAAAATTTGGAACTCAAAGTCCAATAAAAAATGAATGTTGAAAATTGTCTTTACATTTAATTGGAAAAAAATAGTATTTAAAAAAAATTACTCACATACTCACTTGATCTTCATAGAAACCAGGTAGATATTTTAATTCCCATTTTATAGAAAAAGAGATTGAAGTAAAGTGACCTACCCAGAGACATCTAGGTGGTAGAGTGGACAGAATGCTGGGCCTAGAGTCAGGAAGATTCATCTTCCTGAGTTCAAATCTGGTCTCAGACACTTATTAGCTGTGTGACCCTGGGCAAGGCACTTTACCTTGTTTGTCTCAGTTTCCTCATCTGTAAAATGACTTGGAGAAGGAAATGCCAAGCCACTCCAGTATCTTTGCCAAGAAAACCTCAAATAGGGTCACAAAGAGGGGGACACGACTGAAAATGACTGAACAACAACAAACGACCTACCCAAGGCCACAGTTAGTGAACTTCAGAGCTGGAATCTAAAGCAGAACTTCTGATTTCAAGTCCAAGGTTTTTTTTTTTTTTTGATTGATCTGTTTTGTGGGAAAGGATAAGCTGGCTGGAGGAAATAATCAAAAGTGGACTTATATTTAAGGATCATTCCTCAGCTGTATGACCTAAATAGCTCACATTTAATGACCCAAATAGCCCCAAAGCATCTTTTATGTCTTTCCCATTATGAGTTTTCTTCCTAGTCCCTCGGTTGGTTTCCCATCTAGCACGTACTTAGGCACTGGGAATTGGTCAAAGGACCATCTGTTGGTGTCCAAGTCAACATCTTTCCAAGGCTGTCCACACAGAAGTATCTCCCATCACTCAGGTCTTTCTGGCTAGGAATGTATGAACCATCATCATCACACTTCAGTCCCAGTTCATTCCTCTGACAGTCGGTGACACCTGCAAGAGAACATCAGTCAGCCAACAAGCATTTGTTAAGTGTTTACTATGAGCCCAGCACTGGGCTAAGCACTGAAGATAAAAAGAAAGGCAAAAATAAGTGAATCAGGTTTATTCTGGGTCTCCCAAGCATTGAGAGGCTGCTAGGCAATTTTGCAGGTACCTGGGATGTATTCCATGAAATGACTTAGAGGATAAAGTCAGAACCTTGTGGTAGATCCACATTAAATCAGCCGGGATAGGAGGCTGTAAAGAGCAGGGTGACACCTGGCTCTTACAAAGTAAAATTCAATCAATTACTAAACATTTGTCAAGTGTACCAAAGCACTGGGGATTTGAAAAGAGATGAAAGACAGTCCTTGCTCTCACATTGCTAAGAAGTTAATGGGGGAGACAACATACAAACAAATATATGCAAAACAAACTATGTACAGGATAAATAGGTAATAATTAACAGCGGGAGGGCACTGGAATTAAAAAGGGCTGGGGAAAACTTCTTGTAGAAGGTAGGATTTTAGTTGGAACTCAAAGGAAGTCAGGGAGGTCAGCGATCAGAGGGGAGGAGGGAGACAGTTCCAGGCATGGGGGACAGCCAGAGAAAATGGAGGGAGCCGAGAAATGGAGTATCTTGTTTGTGGAACAAGCCAGGAAGCCAGTGTCAAGAGATTGAAGAGTAAGAAGACTGGAAAAGTAGGAGAAAGCTAGGTTATGAAGGTCATTGAATGCCAAACAGAGCATTTTCTCTTGCCTATAAGAGCAAATGCAAGAGGTAGCCCAGTTGGCCATTAAGAACCTAAGGAATGGGGATGGGGGTGGGGTGGGGAGGGTAACCTGCCTAAAAAGGTCAAGAAAAGTGGTCTGTAATCTACCTCAGCCTGGCTATGTGTGTGTGTCTATGCTGACCTGTCCTTGTTCTCCTCCAGTTCCCCCTTTGCTCATTGGTTCACCTCTTCGGGTTATTCAATTCAATTAGAGGCAGCTAAGGATATAGTGGATACAGCATGGGCCTGAAGTCAGGAATGTCCTAGCTGTGTGACCCTGGGCAAGTCATTTATTCTGTTTGCCTCAGTTTCCTCATCTGTAAAATAAGGGTAATAATAACACCTACCTCCCAAAGTTGTGGTAAGGATCAAATGAGGTATTTATGAAGTACTTGGTATAGTGCTTAGCACATAGTAGGCACTATAAAAATGTTAGCTGTTACTTATTATTCACCAAACATGTATTTTCCCATGTGCACTCAGCTTTACAGATACAAAGACAAACAACGGACATAATCTCTGTTTTCAAGGAGTTTATAATCTACTAGGAAGGATATGACCTGAATACAAATGAGTATTAACAGATAGGATGCCATGGGGTGGGACGGGGGGAGAGAGGGAAGAACTCTGTAAAAAGTGCTCTAGTAGGACATTAAAAGGGACCTAAGAGGCCATTAAGTCCATGTCCACATTTTACCAATGCGAAAACGGAGGCACTAAAAATTTGTGACTTTCCAGAGTCATACAACTAGTAAGTATTTGAGGCAGAATTTGAACCCAGGTCTTACTAACTCCAAATTCAATACCCCATCCCTAGTCATTAGATTTTGAGTTCCTTAAGGATAGGGACTTCTTGTCTTTCTTTGTATGCCCCACAATTAGCACAGTACCTGACACGTAGCAGGTACTTAATAAATGAACATTGCCTATTCACTAATATTTGAGGAGAAAGAGATCACTTTCTGGCTTTCTGACCCACTGCTCCAAGCACCTGCTCAGCTCTCCAGCTTCCATAGAGGGTGTCACTGATGCTCTCTCACCTACCCTGCCTGGTTCTAACACTTGGGCTCCTCCTCTGTCCCACCCTTTTGCTCTGGCTCAGTTCCCTGGTACCAGCTCTCTCTCTGGCAGAGTATGTATTACATACATTGCAAGTGGGAGCAGTTTGCTAGGCTGGGAACAGGGAGCTGCTGCCTTCTCCCAGCACTAGCAACACATTCAGCTCTGAGCTCTGGGGTGTAGCCTATCTGTCCTGGAGACATACTTAGGGCTAGGAGGAAAACTTTTAATTTTATATTCCACATATTTTATATTTTGTTGTACTTTATGTTTTTCTAGGCTTAGCCATTTATGCACTATGACTTGTTTCCTCTCATGATAAAAGCATAGCGTGTGTATATATATGGCTATATATATATACACACGTATATGTATACACACATATACAAAGCATTTCAATATATGTGCATATATACTTATGTATGCATACACACCTATTTATATAGAGATATAATAATTATATATAATATGTATGTTAGTGCTAGGAGGTACTTTAAAAATTTAATCCAAATCTTTCATATTAGACATAACGAAAACAAGACATGAAGAAGACAGCTGACTTGTCCAAGCTAGCCACCAAATAGCTAAAAAAATGGTATAACCAAATCTCAAACCCAGATCTAATGATTCAAAGTTCTGAGCTCTTTCCACTATAAAGCAATTATGAGCAAGAATTTTCATACATCTCTACTACATAGAAATGCCAGGAATTGACCTGGGGCAGCTAAGTGGTGCTGTGGATAGAGTGCTGAGCCTGGAGGCAGAAAGACCCATCTTCCTGAGTTCAAATCCAGACTCAGATACTTCCTAGCTGCGTGACTCTGGGCAAGTCACTTAACCCAGTGCCTCAATTTCCTCATCTATAAAATGTCTTCCTGACTCCAAGCCCATCACTCTATCCACTGTGCCCACCTAACTGCCACCTTCTACAATAAGAAATAGGATCTGGTTATCATGACAGCAGGTCTATAAAGACTTCAATGATGGCATTTTGAATTACTTTGCCTCAATTTCAGACACACCTGGTGCATAGAAATATTAGGGACATTTCACATCAAATTACTTAAAGAGATGACAAAAAAAATAACCCAGTAACTTGGCCTAATGCATTTAGCCAAGAAAAATACTTGATGTAAGCTTTTATGCAAACCTTTTTCAAAGGTGTTACTGGAAAGTTCAGGGGACAAGAGAAGGGTGATGAGTTCAATACAATTACAAAGTATAGGCAGGAAATCTCATACTACTTTTCACAGTCTATATCCCAGACAAACTGGAGCAGCTGTATCCCACCTTCTGATTCTAAGCTCTCCCCTGGCTACCTTTTCTAAGACTACCCCAAGTGCCTGGAATGGACTCTACCTCCAGGCTACCATCTCCATTTACTGAAATCTTCCTTTGCATCATAGTTCAACTGTGGCGCCACTTCCCTCATGAAGCCTTCTCGAATTTTCGCCTCTCCTCACAAACGCCCACGAAAATGATCTCTCCCTCCTGAAATAGTTTGAGTGCTTTGCCTAGCTTGTCTGTATTCCATCACAGATGGAACATCACCTTGACACATCATGTCCCCATTTCACTGTAAGCTCCTTGAGGATAGGAACTATTGATCAATCAATTAATCAGTCAGTAATCAATAAGTTTTTAAGTGCCTATCATGGTCCAGGCACTGTGCTAGGTACTGGGGATACAAAGACATAAATCAAACTATCTCTGCCACAAACAGATTATATTATATTGAGAGGGACAATCAGGTAAGGCATATTTTGCATATACAGGTATCTACAAAATACCTGTATATACATCCAGGTGTATACAAAATAGATGGACAGTTAGGTGGTGCAACAGATAGAACACCAGGCTTAGAGTCAGGAAAGCCTGAGTTCAAATCCAGCCTCAGACACTTATTAGCTATAAATCATTTAGCCCTGTTTGCCTCAGTTTCCTCATCTGTAAAATGAGGAAGGAAATGGCAAATCACTCCAGTATCTTTGCCAAGGAAACCCAAAACAGGGTGACAAAGAGTTGGATACAACCTAAAACAATTCAACAACAACAACACAAAATAAATACAAGTGGATGGGGAAGGCACTAAGAGCTAGGGACATCAGGAAAAACCTCCTATTGTAGGTAGAGCTTGGGCCCAGTTTTTAAGGAACCTAGAGATTCTAAGAGGGAGAGGCAAGGTAGGAGTATATTCAAAGTATTGAAAATCACTTTTGCAAAAAAGGCACAGAGATGTTAGGTGAAGTATCATGGATGAGAAATGGTAAAAAGTTGAGTTCAACTAGCCTACGGAGTATATATATAATAAGGCTAGAAAGATAGGCTGGGGCCAGGTCATAAAGAGATTTGAATGTCAAACAAAAGAGTTTGTATATGATCCAAGAGGCTACAGTTAGCCACCAGAGTGTATAGAGTGGAAGAATGATATGGTCATATCTAGGAAAATCACCTTGGGAGTTCTGTGGAGCATGGATTAGAGTGGGGAGAGATTTGAAGCAGGGAGATCAACCAGAAGACTATTGCAATAATCCCTGCATGAAATGATAGTATTATTAGGGAGAGTTCTTTTTTGAATCAGGCCCTGAGGCATTCACTCACAGTGACTTTGGCTGAAAGCTCCAGTTGAAATGGTAGATCTGCCTGTGGGACAGCGGACACAAGCCAAGCTGCCTGGCTGCTCTTGGTAGAATCCAATAGAACAGGGAACACATTTTTCACCCAGAAAGTAGCTACCTTCAGGGCAAACAACTACAAAGCAAGAGAAGAGAATGAGGATTATTATGAATTCCATCTAAGCTTTTTGGCTGCAGTTCCAAAGTACAGGGACAGATGAAACTCCCAAAGACTTAGAAGTCTTCAACAGGTTACCGACTCCATGCCCTTGATTACTACCAAAAGCATCTCTGATAAAGGTCAGAGATCTCTGGTTTTTATCTTCTTTTCTCTGTTTCCATTGTCATCCCACCTTCCCAGTTCAGCCCCTCATTACCAACCCATCTGGACACTTTAATAGATTCCTAACAGGTTTCCCTGCCTCCAATCTCTCCCTCCTTCAAACTTTCCTCCTCCAATCCATCATCTGATTATGTAATATCTGGACAGCAAGAGTCAGGATAGCTGGATTGTAGGGTGTGTAGAAAAGAGTACAATAAGTCTTTGAAGGGCGTTGAATGCCAGAGAACTGCCATATTTGATTCTGGAGATAATTAGGAAGTAACTGGAGTTACTGAGTAGGGTAATGACATGTCCAGACTTTCACTTTGACAAACTGAGTGAAGGATTGGATAGGGGGAGAGAGAGACTTGATTAGCAGACCAACCAGTAGGCTCTTACAATAGTCCACAGGTGAGACCCTCTGTTTCTTCACTTATTCAGTTCTTACCGATCCTTTAAAGTCTTACTCAAATGCTACTACCTCCTCCAAGAAGTCTTCCCTGATCCCTCCATTGGTAATGCCCTGTGCACTCAGATCTCACATAACAGCTGATTTTTCAACTCTCTAATGCACTTAGCACGTAATATGGTGCTTGGGTCTTACCTAACTAACCAAGTTGCCTTTCTTTGTGTCTCTAGTGCCCAGTATTAGTAATTGCTTAATAAATGCTTGCTAACTTGTAATAGATAATGAGGTATAAAGGATCCCTTCACTAAATGACATTGGACTGTCATGCTCTTTGAGATCTTATTTCTGAAAATGCTATTCTATTCATTACTTTTAAATATTTGTCGTTTGAGTTGTTTCATTCATGTACTACTCTTTGTGACCCCATTTGGGGTTTTCTTTGCAAAGATACTGGAGTAGTTTGCAATTTCCTTCTCTAGCTCATTTCACAGATGAGGAAACTGATTTGTCCAGGGTCAAACAGCTAATAAGTGTCTGAAACCAGATTTGAACTCAGGAAGATTAGTCTTCAAGCCTGGTGCTCTATCTATTGCACCACCTAGCTCATCCACTTTTAAATATACCTCCTTCTAATAGTTCCTCCACCTTTTTTTTCATGCTGCAGATTGGGAATGATCAAACTTGTTGGAATTTTGCTTAATATAAAGAATATAGTCTATGAGTAAAGACCCAAGGGACTCTCTTATGTGTAAAAGGCATCAACTTTAGAGCATAGACGTTGGGATTTCTATTTTGGCTACTCAGAGGCCTTTTTAGATTTCTTTCATATCTTCTAGATAATTGGGGCTACCAGAAAAATGCTCTAATGATGATGATGATAATGAAAATGGATGATGGCCAGAAATTCAATGCAACTTTCTACAGCTGATTTACTGGTATTACTTTAGCAAAGAATCAAGGCATAAGAGGCCAAGATTTGCCAACTGGATCTAAGGGCTAAGTTACCAGATACAGTATGACTTCAGACTTCACATTCTAAGTAAGCTTAAAACCAGAGCCACATCTGGGAAATGATATAATGTGCCTTCCAGCTTACTACTGACTATTCATTTCTTCCCTCAAAGGGCCAGTTTCATTACCCATATGAGTCAGGCTGAGAAATAGTAAGCCCAGAGCCAAACTCATCTCTGGAACTGCGATTAGCTTTCAAGTAAGCACTCTTAGAATTAATGACACCCCATCAGACTGAACTCCCTTGCCTTCTTCTCCCCCAGCTACAGGGAGGCAAAAGTAGAAAGAAAAACACAAACTCCACCAAACATGATCTCTATCATTGGTTCAGTATGAAAAACAAAGGCATGGTTATAATTAGAAAAACCAATAGATTTTAAGTTCTAAGAAGCTTGGGCTACTACTGTCTAATTTTCTCTTTCAAGGAATTTCTAATTTACCTGAAATTTCTCTCCTGTAACCAATCATTGTCCTTATCGAGGGAGAGCAACTTCTGGTACTAACTTTTTCTTGGAAGAGCAGACTCAGAAAAATAAATACATGATAAGTAAATAAGGTTAACACCCCCAATCTAGAGATGGATCTAGCAAGACTGGAAACATTCTGGAAACATAGGCGGGCTTCAGGAAAGGTACCATTAAAGAGAAACAGCATATCGGAACCTTTTCTCTTATCTCAGTAGTGAACCTGAAATTGTAACATTCATAATGCCTAAATTTCAGCAGAAGGTCAGTGATGGTTGATATCTACAGTAGGGAAAAATACTTGGATGTTTTCTGTTTACACTTCATTTGTCAGTTTAAGTAGAACTGTCCCCATGAGGGAGTAAAAAAGGCTGACATTTAGGCATCTCCTGCCCAGTAATAGAAGCTTCATGAGACTGAAAGAACTATGTAACATCCTCCTTCCTCCCCACCATGCCTTCCTCCAGCAGCTAGAAGCAATTGGGCATTGCTTCACTCCTCTGACAAACCCCAAGAAGGTATTATAAGAACACAGCAAAGAATATAAGCTCTGTTTGATATTTCATGCTGGCTCCTGTCTTAATATGCTGGGAAAGCTTCTAGAACATTAGTTTGAATGCCGATGTAGCAAATGAGCTCACCAGAGCTGAGCATCTGGAAAAGTCTAGTTCTGCTCCATTTGGGGACCAGTCTTTTTTCCATCCTTTCATGAGTGCTCATTTGGTTTGATTCTTGCAGGGGTCTGCATGTCACGTGTTGGGGGGACAGTAAAATTCTCTTGGGGATTCAATTAGGAGTATAGATCTGGACCTTGAAAAGGACCACAGAGTTCAATTTATTTATCATTTTACAGATGAGGAAACTGAGGTCCTCAGAGGTTAAGTGATTTGCCTAAGGTCACACAAGTGACACAGAGCCAGGATTCAAACTCAAGCCCTGTGAATCCAAATTCAGCATGCCAGCCTCAGCACCCTGTCCAGTTCAGTCCCTTCCTTGTGTATAGTTCAAAAGAAAAGGGGTGAGGGGTATGGCATGGTTTCTGAGCAGGTAAATATAGAAAAAGGGAAAGTCTGTGATTTGGATTGGCCTCATGCAAGCCTATCCCCAGGCTTGTGTATGAATCTTTCTCCTTTGTGCTCCTTCCTCTCCAGGCTGTACTCTGGACTTCCTCTCCTATGCCCCAGTTCTTCATCCTGGAAGCTTCGTCCAGCCTTGGAAGTAACCTCCAACTCTGCAGCCTCTCCCTCTCATTGGATGACTCCTCCCAGAACCTCCATTGAAAGGGGGGTTGTCCAGGCCAGCCACACGCATTCTTTTCCAGGACTTCCTCTATCATGCTCCCCCAATTGAGACCTTCGTCTTCCTGCTCTCCCAGCTTCCTTTTATGAGTTGTCCTCCACCAGAATGTAAGGTCCTTGAGGCCAAGAGACTATCCTTCTTCTTTCTAATTGTATTTGTATCTCCAGTGCTTAGCACAGTGCCTGGTACTTGGTAAGCAAGCATTTAATAAATGCTTATTGACTGACTGTCCACTGAAACTTCATCTGTATCTATAATTACAACAAACAACCTGTAGAAGATGAGTCACAAATTATCTTTTGAGTGGATTGCAGGCATCTGTATATAGATCTCTTATCTGAGCCTCTGTCCCTGCTACAAAATGCAAAAATTATGAAAGTCAAACATACATGCAGAAATTCCAACCCATTTTTATATGCTTGTGAACATTCATAGTGGTAGGAAAGGAAACACATATTATTAGAAAGAACCCATTAGTCTTGGAAATGAACATATAAACTGCTCTTTAAATAATTTGTTAAGTGTCCTACTACAGTAATCACTCATAATTCAGCCTTTGGCTTTGCCATCTCTTTGACATAGCTCCTCTATAATCCTTCATCATATCTCACTAGCTCCCCCCACCATCTCTGAGCTCGTCTCTACTACCAACATGGTAAGTTAGAAAGTTACCACCGGGTTTTCAGGATCCCAAGAGGAATTAGTATTGATCTCTTTTTTTCAGTGGGTTGATCCTCTGACAAAATTATCAAAAAAAAGTGTTGTTTCCCGTTGCTCTATTACTCTACTGATGGCACCACTAAATAACATTATTCATCCACCTTGCCTAGTTACCTGGGATTTCTCTCTAATCCATCCCTCTTCTAAACCTCTCCCTTTCTGCTAAGGGTACCATCATCCTTCCTATCATCTGAGTGCATAGTTTAGAGTCATACTGGACTCCTCACTCTCCCTCATCATACTTAGCCAATCAGTTGCCAAGTTTTGTTGACTCTTCATCTCTCACATCTGGCCCCCTTTTTTTGTTCACCATATTTTAGACACCACCAGCTAGAGGGTACAGTTAATAGAGCGTGGGCTGGAGTCAGGAAGATTCATCTCCCTAAATTCAAATCTGACCTCAAACACTTACTAGCTGTGTGACCCTGGGCAATTCACTTCACCCTGTTTGCCTCAGTTTCCTCATCTGTCAAATGAGCTGGAAAAGGAAATGGCGAACCACTCCAGAACACCTCAAGTGGAGTCATGGAAAGTTGAACACAACTGAATAGCAACATCTATCACTTCCCACCTGAACTATTGCAATAGCCTCTTAATTTCTCTACCGTCTCCCAACTCCTCCTCTGCAGAGCTGCCGAAGTATTATTCTTAAAGCACAGGCATGATCATTTAATTCCACTGCTCAATAAACTTTAGTGACTCTTTATTTCTTCTAGTCTCCAATATAGACTTTTCTATTTGGATTTTAAAGCCGTTAGAAATTTGGCTCCAACATTCCTTTACGATCTTATTAAACATCACTCCCTTTCACGTACTCTTTAATTTAGCCAAACTGGCTTTCTTACTGTTCCTCCCACAATTCACTTTATCTGCCATTTCCATGAATTTGCACAGCCCTCCCTCCCCATCTC